GGCCGCTCTGCAAGGAAGATTGGGGCCCAGTTCAGGGGAACTGGGGGGAGATTCGGCACGGCACTAGGCAGGCCCTTCGGGGTTCAGAGATGCCCCTGCCTAGTGGCAGGTATCCCCCAGGGAACCGGCTGGCAAGGTGAGCCCATTGGCCACCTCAGGTACACAGATCTGACCCACCCCGGTGATGATTGGTGGGCAGATCTTAGCACAATAGACGAGGCTGGGGGTGCCACAGGCCAACCCAGAATGGCTATAGCAGGCCGCCTCTCCGTACTCCCCTCGTCCCAGGCACGGGACATCAGGCTAGATTGCTGCGTGGAAGTTGGGACTAGGGCACGTTAGTAAGTACAGACGCACCCTCCGGAAAGTTACTAGGGGAACCGAGAGGTTACCCTACAGAGTACTGAGGGTAACTGCAAAGAAAGTAAAATGCCCGTAAAACCGCCGGAAGCCGGGTGGATTCTGGTTTGAGAGTCGGCGCGAGGACAGGGACTATACTTGGATTTTAGGGATCAAGCATGCAGAGTCCAACAAGTCTACCCAGCTGGATCATTAACATAAATTTGCAAAATGCGGGTGGAGAGGACAGCGTTGATGGGTTGCAGCATGATTGCTTCCCAAGGAAGAAGCTGAGAGTGCAACATGGCGCGTACATGGTGGACATCATGAGTTGCGGAGGTGAGGGCGTAAGACCAGAGATGGTTCAAGAGAGGCTGCAAAAGAGTGAGAGGTTACTGGGCCAGATCAGAGTTTCAGTATGGCTGACACCACTCGACTACAGAGGTCAGAGTCACGCTCTTCAGGAGGTTCCCACTGTTCTAGTTTGCCAGATGCATCTACAGAAGCTGCTGCATCGAGGACCAGATCTTTACGTAGAGAGGAAATAAATTCTGGGGTATTTGACGTGACAATAAAACCCCGCAACCCACCTACATTCTCAGGACGGACACAGGATGATCCAGAGATGTGGGTTGGGCAGGTGTCGAATTTCTTTCGTCTGGTGGGAGGGCCACCACAGAAGCAGGTTGCATACGCTTCTACGTTGCTCCAGGGTGCTGCACAAACCTGGTGGCAACGGAAGGTGAAGGCCATGGAATACCCCAAGGACTGGGAGACACTCGCAGATCAGCTGATTTGCAGGTTCCAGAACAGGAACAAGGCAGATTCTGCGATGGCTGCCCTGATGAACATAAAACAGAGGAAGGCAGAGAGCACCCATGATTTCATCTGCAGATTTGAGGCGGAGTTGGATAAGGTGGAGACATACGATGAATCGTGGGTACTGAAGATGTTCATCTGGGGTCTTCCCCAAGACCAGGCGATGCTAGTATCCCAGGGAAAGCCCACACGACTTAGTCAGGCTTTCCAGTTGGCCAGAGATGCTGCCTTGGCCGCCCGGATGGCGAGGCGCCCAGGAACAAGTGGAAAAACTGAGGGCAGCAGCAGCCAGAAGGGCCAAGGACGTGGCCAGGGTAAATTTGCAAGCCAGCACAGGAGGACAGGGCAGAGTTCGACGCTTAATACAGTATACCAGGCGCAGGGTCATGATGTGCAGCATGGGGGAAAGCATCGTGGCAGGGGGCAAGCTGGTATGCCTCCCGTCCCACCACAGCCAGCAGTTGTTGTGAGACAGCCTGCACAACAACAGGCCAGTGGATCTGGACAGAGGGGACGAGGACAGGGTAACCAGAGGAGGCCCCGGGCAGCAGGCATAGCTGCCCAGGTTGATCATGGAGATGGCTGGTCACCAGGACCAGGAGGCTGCTCAGCACGCAGCCGTGAGAGGCACCGATGCTTCCTTGTGTTAGGGGCAAGGAAACTGACTGGTCCCCACTCTTGCCAGTCAGGAGATAGTCGGGGGCAACAGGGACAGGTCATCCAGAGGACCTATACCCTACAAAATAGGACACTCAGTCGCTCCAGATGTAGACGTCAGCGGAGGAAGTGGAGGTGGTTGAGAAGGCTGGAAAGACGTCGGATCCGACGCGCAATGCGCACTGAGCAGAAACAAGGCTCAAGTGATGACACCCGGGAGATGGCTTTAAAGTCTCCAGCCCAGTTGGGAGAGACCCCTAAGGTGTCAGTGCAGAGGACTGAGCCTGCTCCAGTAGCTGATGCTGTGGGTTCACCAGCCCCAAGCACAGGAGTGAAGGACCACGTGCTGCTGGTTGTAAAAGCCGTGGTGAATGGGACAAGTGTCCCAGCGTTGATTGACAGCGGAGCGAGCAGGTCTTTTGTCAGTGACCGGCTCCAGTGTTATCAACCATTGCAGTTTGTGAGAGCATATTCGGCCTTGGAATTGGCCAATGGGGAAACCATAGTTTCCACCGGAATCGCCCCACGAGTACTGGTATGCATCGGAAAGGTACCTTGTCGACTCGCTTTGACTGCAGTACCGATGATGGAAGGGGTCCAGCTCATACTGGGAAAGGACTGGCTGGATATCATGAACCCTTTGGTGGATTGGCGGTCAAACACGGTTTTTCTGCGTAATGGCTCACAACTGGAGCCAGTCCAGGGAATTTGTGAGAAGTTTGGCAAGCATTGTCAGATAGTCGACAGAGGTCTGAACGGTCTCCAGTGCTATTTCAGAGACCTCAAGCAGGGTGATAGGTCTCCTACTACAGACTTGGGAAGGAAATTGGCTGTACTATCATCGCCTCAGTTCTGGCAGTATGATTCTTCGGCGAAGGAGTGGGTCCGGCAGCCTGCAGGGCTGCGAAGTCTGTCATCGCTGGGGACGGCTCATGTTCCCCAGGGGGGGAGTACCAAACCCAACGAATTTTCTCCAGACGACAACAAAGACCCTCACAAAACCCAGGGTCCCCCAAGGTGCAGAACCACAAGGACACGGAGAGTGGCAGGGAAGTGTGTACGGCAGCCTGTACGTGAAAAATTGGATTTCATTTCATTGCGTCAGGCAGCAAAACGGGCAAATAAAACTGACCTGCCTATGTACTTGTGCGTTCTGAGGGCCACAAAACTCTCTGTAGAGAAAAAGAAAAGGCCAAGGTCCAAGGTTGGTGCAGCACGGGGCATGACTGAGGGCGAAAAGCGGAGATTATCGAAGGAAACAGGCCCAGTTACTCAGGATATGCCGATGGAGACAGTGATTCAGCAGAAGGTCCAAGAGGCTGAAGAAGAAGTCAGGGAACAGTTGCAGCAGACACTGAAGGAATTCCAGGACGTGTTCCCTGACCAACTGCCATATGGTCCACCTCCGAAGCGCGTTGTCGATCATGAAATTGACACTCTGCCAGGCGAGGCACCGCCTCATAAAAGTCCATACAGACTCAGCACGGCAGAGTTGGATGAGCTAAAGCGACAGATCGACGTGCTACTGGAGCAGGGGTGGATCAGACCCAGCTCAAGCCCGTATGGCGCCCCTATCCTTTTCATCCCCAAGAAGGACGGGAAATGGCGCATGTGTATAGACTACCGGGCGTTAAACAAAATCACTGTCAAGAATCGGTATCCACTGCCAAAGGTGGAGGAATTACTGGACCGACTTCACGGGGCACGTTACTTCACGAAGATTGACCTCGCCTCTGGTTACCATCAAATCAGGGTGCGAGAGTCAGATGTACACAAAACGGCCTTTGTGAGTCGGTATGGCAGCTACGAGTATCTGGTCATGCCATTCGGACTGTGTAATGCACCAGCAACCTTCCAGCGCATCATGAACACAGTACTGCGGGAAGGTTTGGACAAATATGTGTTGGTGTTCCTTGATGACATCCTGATATACAGCAGAACCAAGGAGGAACACCTACGACACATCAGGGAAGTTCTGAGTAGACTTCGGTCGGAGAAGTTGTTTGGAAGGCTGAAGAAATGCGACTTCTTCAGAACCGAAGTCGAATATCTGGGCTTCGACGTGGGAGCTGAGGGGATCAAGCCCT